GCTAGCGCAGATAGCCCTCGTGTAGCTTTGCGCGAAATTCAAAAAAACAAACAAACACATTGAACTATCTGTGCTCTGTCCTCGGCGGGGAATCTAACCCTGAATTTTAGCGTTTTAAGTCTGTAAACTTGCCGCTGACTCACCGAGGAACAAGAGGGGTAAAGTTACTCAGCTAGCCAAAGAGTAACGTCTGTCGTACATTTAACTAAACATTAGGGAATATTTGAACAAGAAATCAGCATTAAAGTTTCTGAGCTATGAAGACATACGAGATTGGTAATTTAAAGCAGTAAAAAAAAGCCACTTCATGTATCTTAAAAGATACGAAAATTAAAAATTTTGTTGGAAACGAGGAATGTTTTGCTACTCCTAATGTAAGATTTCTTTTACACCTTCCAGAAAGAAATACTCCGTTTAAAAGCTTAACCAGCTCTTATTTAGCTAGCTATTGCTAGCAGATAAACGTTAACATTGAATATTTCTTGTTTTTCCATGTTTTCTGTATAGGACCGGGCGTGACCTATAGGTTAGCGTGCCTGACTATGAATCTGAAGGTTTGCACTTTGGGGCCGTGGGTGCGTTGTAAGAATGACAGTCAAATTTCACTGTTCGATTAGATTAGCTCAAGAGTTGGCAGTAGGGTACTGTTGACTAGCAGCTGTCCATCTAGTTATGTCCCCCAATGGGACAACTATAAGTCTGCGGATTTACATCGCTAAAATCCGGTGTTCGATTCCTCGCGGTGCACACAGCAGATAGCCAAATGTGGCTTTGCTCTAAAACAACCAACCATCTAGTTATCGGTTCACAAGTAGGGACGGCTAGAGTAGGATAGCCCATGTGTAGTTTTTACGCCCGCACAAATAAAAAGGGCATTTAAACTGACTTGTTTCGGATATTCTCGCCCAATTCAGATATTCTATTGTCTCATTTAATTGAGCTGTATATAAATCGTTGTTAATTGCCATCTGTTCTTCTGTCCGAAGACTCTTCAGACTCACGAGCTCCGAGTAGACGTAGAAAGAAGGTTTTTCGAAGTTCACGTAAACATTACCAAAAAGCTGGACGAAGCCGAGCGGCAAGTTGGAGAACTACAAAGTGGTGAGTTCACCGCCAACTTCCATTATAGATACAAATAACTACTTACCTATTTTTTATTGTTCTTTTGAGTACTTCTCAATTATAAATTTTTGTGATGGGCGGATAGCTTATTTTGCTCTGAAACTCCAGAGAGGGCGTATTGGTAGCTTCGCTTTGCTTGCATGTCTATTAACTCCTACTTACTTGGTTTGCTTTGCTCGTTTTTGAAAACCCTGCCCATGGAATTATCTAGAAATGGTTGTAGACCGTTTGGAGATACCAACGCGTGAACATATTTTACAATGTATTACTTGATAGCTATTGTCTGTTATATAGAGCTTGTAAATTACTGTCTCAAAGTAACAATAACTTTAACTGCATATCAAGATCGATCGTTTATATATATATATATACCGGTAAATATTTAAACTGTACAGAATACAAATGGTGTGGTTAGTGATTAAGATAGTTAGGTCCAATAAGCCACCATAATAACGGAATTTAAATAACGTTCTATTACTCAATGTACCTATTATACGTTGGGTCATTTAGTTGAATATATTGATTGTAAAATCCTACTGGTACGATCCTGGTTTTATATTAAATAGGTCAAGTAACCGCAGATCGAGTGTGATGATCCGTTTCAAAAATTGTGATTACCTTCATAAAAAACACACAAAAAACTGGATTCTCTTCTCTAAGTTTAACCGACTCGTACAAGAACATCTGAAAATAAAGACTGTGTATATAGTAACGGTTCGTGAAGTCCACCTTTCATGTATACTTTATAGCACACTAGATAGTTAGCGGTAAAAGCAAAATGCTGATATATATATATAGTCAGAAATGAACAGCATTTGGTGGAGTTGTGTGTTCATCATACATCGTGAATGTTCAGGAAAACTAAGTTGTTAGTTATACGAAGGCCAGAAGTCACAATGTAATGATCTGAATTTAATAGGGTTGTGTATTTTCCATACATAGTGAATGTTCAGGAAAACTAAGTTACTAGTCCTACGAAGGCCAGAAATTATCGTGTGATAACCAACAATTGACGAAGTTGTATATTTTTTCTTCATACATAGTGAATGTTCAGGAAAACTAAGTTACTAGTCCTACGAAGGCCAGAAATCATCGTGTGATGACCCACAATTGACGAGGTTGTATATTTTTTCTTCGAACATAGTGAATGTTCAGGAAAACTAAGTTACTAGTCCTACGAAGGCCAGAACTCATCGTGTGATGACCCACAATTGACGAGGTTGTATATTTTTTCTTCGTACATAGTGAATGTTCAGGAAAACTAAGTTACTAGTCCTACGAAGGCCAGAACTCATCGTGTGATGACCCACAATTGACGAGGTTGTATATTTTTTCTTCATACATCATGGATGTTCAGGAAAGTTAAGTTACTAATTATACAAAAGCCAGAAATCATCGTATAATGGTCCGCATTTGGTAGGGTTGTGTGTTTTTTATACATTGCAGATGTTCAGACGACTACGTTACTAATTATACAAAAGCCAGAAATCATCGTATAATGGTCCGCATTTGG